AAATAAAAAAATAAAATATGAAGAAACTAATCAGATCACACGAACAGTGTGATTAGCATTTGTAAACATCACATTATAATTATACAAAATAACATAAAAACTATTAATTTAATTTATAATATATTCTAACCATTCATCAAGGCTTGATTTGAAGAATTTTGAGAAAATGCAAAAATTAGAAGTTTATGTAGAAATATACCGAGAACAATGTTGGTGAAAATTTTGAATTATATACCTAAAACAACATGACCAATAAATAATTTTATAGTAGCTTTACGTGACGAATGAGTTATTATTGAACGTACGAGTATTTGTAACGTTTAAATCTAACCAATGATGTACACAATAAATATACAAAAAATAATCGAAAATGTTAAATTTAGCAAATATTATTAACTTAAATTATATTTTTGAAAATATCTTTAATAATGACGTAATAATTCCATCTAATACAATTATCAGTGCATTACTTTTTAAACTATAAAAGTTTGGAATAATCTATCAAAGGTTAGTAAATCATATTTTTTCCTCTTGTTTTCCAACTCCTTTTTTATTTATTTATTTATTTTAATTGTTTTGAAAAAATTATTGATTTCACAATGGTTTTAACATATATAAATTCAAGTATAAATAATTAGTATTATAAATTCGAAACTGGTCGTACATTAAAAATATAATAATACTTCAGGCTAAGCATTAATTAATTAATTAATATATATAAATTTACGAGTATCAACTATTCAATATTTGTTTTTATTTTTTATAATTTTATTATAAAATAAAAAGTACATTTGTAGGTTATATTGGAAAGTTTTTTTTTTTTTAATATAAAAGAATAAAATATAGTTTTAATGAAAGATATCTTATTAGTATAGAACTAAGTGAATGTTAATATGAATTCAGATTCTGATGATAATGATCCAGATGTTGGTATTATCCGACTTAAAATATCGGCCTACATCATTCACTGTCTCTTTACAACCTGGTATCCAATCTCTTATTTTCGTACCAAATACTCTAATGACACCCTAAATTTGCTTCAATTCTATCTAACCATTTCTTATTTGATCCTACTTTATCTCTCACTCTCACTCTTGCTCTCTCTTTCATCATTGATTTCCTTTACATTTCTCACTGTATTTTCCTTATCTTTCCATCATATATTTTAACCATTTCAGCTTATTATTTTTCATTTTTAGGCGATTAGTTTTATTACTGATCATATAGTTATTTCTTATCCTTACTTCCTGATTCATTCCATACATTCACATTGGCATTCTAATACATTTGAGAATAATTGAATAAAACTTATATCAATAAACATTTTTTTTTTACATTTTTTTTTTCAAACCAAATTTTATTCTTAAGCTTGAAATATTCAAAATGTGTGAAAATTAATAATTTAATTTAAATAGATACTTTACCCAATGCTGTACAGTATAAAATGCTAAATTATTATAATTATTGCATTTACAATTTTTACTCTAAAATTGTATTACATGGAAATTTAATTTAATTACTTAACAGATAAAAAATAAACATTGATGGGAAAAACTTACAAGTTATTAATAATCTCTTTATAATTATAAACTTATAATTTTAAAATAAGAGTAAGAAAATAAAATAATCAGTTCTTTTTTTAATATAAGTTTATCTTGAAGTCAATTTCCAAGTACATTGTATAAACTGGCAAATGGTATATTTTTAAATCTCTCTAGTTTTAATTGGTTTATATATCTCTTCTATACAAAGTACATTCAGTTCAATAAATTTTGGGTATCAATCTCTTGAACATTTTATGTTTATAATCGTGGTGATATTTAAATCAGGAACCAAAACCGTAACCAAAAAGAACCGGTACTGGAACCGGTTAACTTTTAAAATTTAAGAACCGTAACTGAAACCGGAACCTTTATTTCCAAAAATGAAAAACTGTAACCTTAATTATAGAATGATTGATTTAGGTCAGTTATTTAGACTAGTAAAACTATGGTAATGACTATTTTGTTTGTCCATTTGTCAGTTCAGAAAAGTAAAAGTCAAATCTTTTTATGTTTTTATTATTTTGTGTTATAAACTGTAATAGTGTAATCCATATAATAAGTAAATTTGTAATATTATTATTATTATTATTATTATTATTATTATATTTGTATGTTTATTAATATATTACAATTTACAATGAGTATATCATCTATTTATAGTATACTTATCTTTATTATTAAATATAATTAATTTAATTCTGTAGCTACAACATTAGCCAGTATTAACTTTAATTCCTAATTAAAATTAAATTTCAAATTAAAGATATCTATTTATCAAATCATAATATTTAACAATATTACAAAATATTTTACAAATTCTTACTATGAGTTGGAATAAAATAACTTAATCTAACTCAAAGAAATATAATAGGTTAATATAATATATATATATATATATATGAATATATTTAATATATTTATAATTATTTCTTTTTAACTATTCGTAATACCTTCTATTTTCATTAAATGAATGAATTAAAATATAAATATAAATAAATATAAAATAAAATATAAATTACATATTATTTTTTAATAAATCTCTAAAAATCAGAATTAACCAAAATTAACCGGTTCTAGAACTCTTACTCTTTTAAACAACCGAAACCTAAACCGGAACCTTTAAAAAATTAATTGAACAACCAAAATCGAAACCAGAACCAAAAAAAACCTATAGATTCCAGTCCCTGATTTAAATTGAACCAGAAATCATAAAAAAATCTTGAAATAACTATACATACCTCTACTAGTAATCATGTATTTTCATATGGTTTGAAAATTATACTAAGTATCTGGGATTAAATTATATAAATATCGATAATTGTATGAAACTAACAAGCTTAATTTTTAAAACCAGCTAAAATATTTATTGAGAAAATATAAAAAAAAAATATTACATTACATTTACGTTTAGAAATTAAAATTTAGAAATTTAGATTAAATCTTCGCAATCACAGCGTATTTTTATGCTTCTTAAATAACAGTTTAACTACACAAATAAAATAAAATAATTTATAATAAGTAAATTTCCTAATCAGTTTGGGAAAACTTTTAAATATTAATTACTCAAAAACACTTACACACAAGGTTACACAGTTAATATTGTTAAGTAGGTTTGTACTATTCATGTTAATCGAGAAATTACAAATATTCATTTTCTGAAATATTTTTATGTAAAAATGACAAAAAATAATTTTTGTACAGTATCTTATGATTTGAATAACCTTAATGAATACGGGTCATTAATATTAATATTCTATGTGTGTACACAAATCCTATCATTTTTATATGAATAACAAATCCAAATGAAACAAAATAACATTTTTTTTAGAATATTAAGTTGAAATTTCCCCCTTCAGATACCTATCTCGGAATTTAATTGCAAATAATAACTATGAAGTTATACATTTTAAAAGGCCATCATGCGTATTACCGATCGAACTTTTTGATAAATAAATAAAAATGTTCTAATGGATATTACACAACAGATGATAAATAATATATTTTGTAGTATTTTTTTAGTCCATTCTATGCAATAATATCGCCTAATTTTAACAATATATTGATGTATTATATTATATCATTTTATTATATATTAAACTCGTTTTGATGATATAATATATTATATTTATAAACAAGCCATGCGAATCACAATAATATATTATCTGATATTATTGTGTAGATGATGTACGAAAAAGTCTACAAGATATTAATGATTTATTTTGTTAAATAAAATAAACAGCTAACGCTTAGAATATTTGTTTAACTGGTCATCTAATAGTCAGTAACATAACAATAGAAATTACACCATCATAGGCAATTAATTAATAAACAAAAGATTTCTCTCTCTCTCTCTCTCTCTCTCTCTATTACTCTTACTCGTATAATATAATCAATGATTTACCCGTGCCCTATACAATACGTCTCTTCCAAATTGCTCAATAATGACGCTCTGACCGGGCTTTTTCTACGATTTGCAGTTTGGTTAATCAAGCAAATTGCAATGCCGTGAGTGAAGGATGTTGTCCGAGTATTATATTGACACACATAGCACAGCAATCGGGTAATGAAAGCTACATGATTTAAAATATACTTGTTTGGATGCCGCATTGTTAATTAATTACACACATTCAATTTTAATCATCGTAGTATCTGCAAAGTTTTATAGTATTTCCAGTCATTAGAATATTCTATTTGTGTTGACAATAATGCACTGTGACAACGGTTCGGGAACCTGTAAGAGTGCCTAAGCGTTTCATATATTCCGTAATAATAATATATATATATCAGAATCTAATCTAAACTTTTTAACAATCGTCAATAATTTATATAGCTAATATTCCAATGATTTAACGCATTAATATTATCTGAAAAACTAGATATTTTATTTCTTCCAATAGACACAATTTTAAATTAACCAAAAATACAAGTGAATAATATGTAATATTTTATTTTATTTTATTTTTTTTTGATAAGTAACCATTAGTGATAACCCTGTGATTAAAATAACCCTGTCACTTGACCTTTTTTAAGGTAATTTTCTTTACTTTTTTTTCTAGTTATTTAAGCTCTTATAATAATAAGACAACACTGAATTATTATTTAGTAAATAATATTTTTAATGTTTTGAAAAAAATATTTTGAGTGCATCTTGAAGATATCCTTTTAGAATGCATATTACATTAAGACTTATTTATTGACCGATATAAGAGTATACACTATGGTTATCAATGTAAATGAAAATTATGAAATATTACACTGCAGCAGTATGTGCAAATACTCGTATGTATGTTTTAATAATTATGCCGGCATAGAAAAATATTGATGTTTAAATTATTAAAATCGGCTATATTCAGATAAATATATTACATTCATATGTTTTCACATGTTCTAAAAAATGTAATTATGAGTTTATTTTATTTTTTTTATTCTAAACCAGAAATGTTATATGTATTTCAGGAAAATGATGTTGTTAATACTAAACTGAAATTGAGGTATGGAAAAAGCGCACTATACGGTGCACCGACAGGCGCTATGGATCTTATGTTTCCACGTCGTTTGCAGTATTTCCATTGTCACAGGTAAGGTTTTACAATAGTAAATATTATAAAAAATATGTTTCATACGTATCCACACTTAAACAATATACATTCGACTGTAAATTCATTATCTATAATTATAGTTATTATTGTTTTTATTATTATTATTATAATTTTATTGTTATGATTATTTTTATATATAATTAAATATTATTTTTACAGTTATAAATAAATTAAATGTTTTACTACAAGTATATAAAGAAATAATTCTAACTGTTCTCCGTTATTCACTCAACATAAATATTCAACAACGTTCAACCGAAAAATAATGTCAACTTCTTTGGCATAAAATATGATATAAAATAGTAACATGATAAAATCCAGCTGTGCGTGGTGGAGTTAGAAATGTAATATAATATAAAAAACATGTTTACCATAATATCGTTACATTAAATGTACTATATCCAGCGTGTATTGGAATGAACATCTAAAAGTGCTGCTATGTATAAAACATATATTTATAACATGTACTAATGAATTTATTATTTGTACGCGTATTATATTAATTGAGAATGCACTTATTCAACGTCAATACGTTAATATCATATCCATCCTTAGTGCATTAATCTTATGTGATTTATAATATTTTAATCGACAAAGTTACCAATGATAAAATATATTGTTATGAATGTTATTGTTTGTTATATTGTTATTTTGAATATTGACAATATTGGATTTTTCGACATTTACTCTGTTCAATGAAAACACTCAAAAAGCTATTTTACCTTAACTTCTATAGATACACACTTGAATCACGAAATAATATTTTCGTGGTTTATTATGTACAAAAATATTGAATCGGATTATACAACTAAGGTTAAAGCGGTTTTGTAGATTAGTTAATGTACTCAGAGACTCACTTAGGATTAAATTATTTTGGTCCTCTAATTAAGATATGTATTGTACTGCTTTTAAAATGATGGTAGCTTCGGCGGTGAAAATAGAACACTGGTTGTACATTTTATTTTTGCGAAAAGTGGTGAGGTTTCGTTGTTTGTTTTTTGGTTGTGACGGCAATATCAACTCCTTTTTCAGATTTAGATGCGTTTGAGTAGATTTCTTTGCAGTTTAAGTATTTTTCTTTATTTTCATATAGATAATTTTTGTATGTATTTTCGATTGTTCGTTCTTTTTTTTTAATGAACTGGTGTTTTAAGTACTTATTACATATATTACGGAGTATAATAACATTCATGGATAAGTGTCACATTGAACAAAAAATAAAAATTATTATTATGATTAATTTATTATATTTTGTCTACACAACGATTACTAGGTAAACAAAAGACAAAATCAGTATTTAATTTCAATAAAAAATATAATTTTATCATTTAAAGCATATGTATAATTGATTTGGATGTTCTAATTTTTCGGAATAATCATACAAATATAATAGCATCACACTCATAAAATGTATAAAATCTGATGTCAAATCGATTTTTCTATTAAAAATTATATTATTATAGTTATTTTAATTTTGAAAAATTTACTTAACAACATAATTTTCAGTTCAAATATCAATAAGTTCCCATCAGGTTTGATTTGATTTAAGTATACCATTTAACTCTATTTTTATATTATACTAGCTGACCCGACAAACGTTGTTTTGTTTTATAAATTATTTCTAGAGAATATTTTCCGAGATAAAAATAACTAATTTAATATAAGTATGTAAGGATGCGGTACATAAGTGGAAGAGGTATGGAGTGCTATGAACGGTGACGAAATATAAAAATGGAAAAATATTAAACATTTCTTTTTTTAATAATTTATTAAAATTGATCTTTTAAAATTATATATATTGCTAATTTTGACAATATTAGTGAAAAACAATATCAATCCCTTAATGCAACAGAGCGTACAATATTTTTGCTATTCTATCTTTCACCAACACAAAAAAAACTAGATGGTTCAAGGGTACACCAGATATAATTATCCGTGTGAAAAACATGATGTGCTCAAATTTAAGTCACAGGCAGACATCGTTTGGCCTTGAGACTTATTGATAGTCATTGCAAATGCCAATCAAATTGGAAATTGAAGGCATTTAAATTGTATTGGCACATATGTGGGTGTAATAGGGATTCGCGGTAATTATATATTTTCACCTCTGAATTTGTAATTTAATATGATAGCTTCGATATCATTTTTCATTAATTTTTTAATAACTAATCGCGTACCGTTGCACAACCGTAGTTGGTTCAAATTACGAAGCAAAATAACTGGAGATTCAATCTTCAATTGTAACTTATGCTTTGGTATGCCTAGTAAATCTAATGAGCTTAAAAACTTTGTTGGATAATTTACAGCTTTAGTAGCATCGCAAACTGTATCAATAGATTTTTATGACACCAAGTCATCTGGTAACAAATGTTATATCTTGAGATTCAATTCGTTGACGTCCATATTTTTGCTGCTAAAATTGCTCTTTCTGCCAGCCACTCATGGTTTGTGTTTTTTCTGTGTACATTGGGAAATATTTGGTCAATGAGAGCATCTTGTGAATCAATGGTTGAGCAGAAATCGGTCGGTAATTGTATGTTTCCCGTTTCATCTGTAGTATCTTTCCCATCACCGATATCTAAAAATTGTTTTGACAATCTTCCACAAGCAGATTTTTTTGATTGAATCGCAAGTATCGTAATCTTTCGTTCTCGTTTTTTACATACATGTCGACCATGAATTGTTGACAGAATTCACGATATCGTAGAATAACGTTTTAAACATTCTTGTTTATTTTGGCATCTGTTGCGGGATCTTGTTGTTCAATATTTATGAAATTCATACTAAAAATAAAATTAATAGTTTTTAATAGTTTCTTAATAGTATCATTTAATAATTCGTTTTCAATTGCGCAGTTATCGACTGGATCAAAAATTATTAAATTAAACTATGATGTATTAAACAATAGCACTTAGGAGTTTAAAAAATAGATAAGAACCTATTCGCAGACAAGGGGTGGATACAGAGGCCCTAAACAGTGGAGGGTGGCAATTTATTAGTTATAGGCTAAAAAAAAATATCATCTATTTAAAAAAAAAAGGTGTTTATTTTTTAGATAATGAAGAACTTTATGTATTTATTTAAAAAAACTTTTTAATCTTTATAAATTACCGCTAATTATTATATATGATATATATTATATATAAATTAATTAATAAAATATTTTAAATTATAAATTTTTTTTTCTTATATTCTTTGAAAATATATTTATCACATCATCTATGCAATATGTTGATCTCGATGGCAATGTATAATCGCCAATCCGGAAATTCTTTCTTGTAACATGTTGCACCGCAGCCAAGTTTTTATTCTCTTAAAGGCAGAAAAACAAATATGCGATTACTTAATTTATTCGATAAAATATCAATGTTATTTTAGATTTTTAACACAATATTATCAAAACAAGATGATTTTAATCTGAACGATACGACAGCGACAATCAAATGCAAGCCGCAAGTAGCGGTAAAACCATGATTGTATACGGCATATCTATCTAAAAATAGATTTATTGATTACTGTTATCGTAAAAGCTGCATTAGTAAATAGTAATAGAGAAAGAGGATTAGAATGATAGGTATACATATATTGATGACCCAAATTCTAAAAATGAAATATTAATTAGAAAATCAAATTAGATACTTTTTTTGCTGAATGTTGGTGAAACTGCCCCCATTGCCCCCCCCTTTGCATCCACCCCTGTCGCAGACATACCAAATGTATATACAAAATTTCATTAAAATCGGTCAAGCCGTTTCGGAGGAGTATGTTCACAAACACTGTGACACGAGATTATTATATATATATATATATATGAATGTAATTTATTTTTAAATATCTACAAACAGAAATATGAAAAATAGTATGTTATATACTGTATGTAATAATATGTTCACCAGTATGTTTATATTAAATTTTTAGACAAACATTTACATAAAATTTGGTATTTTTATATTTACTCGTACTTAAATATTTTAATTTTAATGAAACTATTATAAATATAGTTAGTGAACATTCACAATACATCAAAAAAGCCTAAACATAATTATTCATTCAACGAATTAAATATTATTTTTTTGCGACTCCAATTCATAAATAAATAAAAATATCTAAATTTTTTTTCCTCTTGTTTTATTACTGACATTGACTATTATTGTTGTAATATTATTATTTACATAATAATTATTCATATTTATGTTTCTGAAATCAGATATTCCTATAATGTGTTATATTTCTTAGGAACAGCTATTTTACATTAACGATTATATAAAACTTCTCAGAATTATCATTAATGATAGCAGTGTTTATTTTTTTTTTTTTTTTAATTTTATATTTTAAAATAACAGTTTATATTTATTATGCGGGATTAAAATCGATGTTTCAATTATTCGAATAATAATTTAAATTGTTTTACATGGTATTTGGGTGGACTAAAGAATTTTTTTTATCAATGATTCAACGTAGAACTGCGACAATTGAGTTATCTAAAATAAATATGAATTACTTTACTTTTCAATTAAATTTCTCGAGTATTGTAATTTTACACTAATTTTGGTCATTTTTCTTATGTTACTAAAATCTTGTGAAACTTAAGAGTATCAATTTTATTATTTTATCCCGAAAAATACACGTAACAAAATTAAAACAAAAATAAAGGTATGCAATGAATTAGGACTATGATTAAAATTAAAATGACAAAAAAAAACAAATTATATGTATTTGTAATTTTCATAATACCCATATAAAATCTATGTAATGTGAAACTATACATTATCTACTTCTTAAATTTTGAAGTAATTTTTTCGAAAAGTCCCCTCCCTGTGTTGTTATCTCGTTACCTCGTTACATTTTTGTATACATGTAAGTTCCTTGATCAAACTCACTTATATTAATTCAAATGTCAACATTTTGTAATTGTTTCATTATTTTTTATATTTATATATATAATAAAAAAAATTAATTTGCTAAAAAATCATCTTTAA